GGAGATCTCAAAGGTCCGGAAGTGGATATTGAAGGCCCAGACGTTGACATTGAGGGTCACAAAGGGGGACTGAAAATGCCTAAGTTTAAGATGCCCTCATTTGGTTTTAAAGGACCTAAACTAGAAGGTCCAGATGTTGACATTGAGGGTCACAAAGGTGGACTGAAAATGCCTAAGTTCAAGATGCCCTCATTTGGTTTTAAAGGCCCCAAACTAGAAGGCCCAGATGTTGACATCGACCTCCCCAAGGCAGACATTGATGTGAAAGCACCCGATTTTGATATTGAAGGAGCAGACCTTGACATTAAGGGACCAAATGCCAAACTGAAAGGTCCAAAATTCAACATGCCAAGCTTGTCTGGCCCAAAAATATCCATGCCAGATGTGGATTTCAACTTGAAAGGCCCCAAACTCAAAGGTGACATGGATGTTTCAGGTCCAAAGATCAAAGGAGATATCAAATCACCTGAAATAGACATCAAAGGTCCAGAAGTTGATATTGAAGGACCAAAGGGAGGATTTGAAATGCCTAAAATGAAAATGCCTTCACTAAATTTGAAAGGTCCGAAAGTTGATATGCCAGATGTAGACATTAATCTGAAAGGTCCTAAGGTTGAAGGGGATGTGGATGTTAATCTGCCAAAGATTAAAGGAGATCTCAAAGGTCCAGAGGTGGATATTGAAGGCCCAGACGTTGACATTGAGGGTCACAAAGGTGGACTGAAAATGCCCAAATTCAAGATGCCCTCATTTGGTTTTAAAGGCCCCAAACTAGAAGGCCCAGATGTTGACATCGACCTCCCCAAGGCAGATATTGATGTGAAAGCACCTGATGTTGATTTTGAAGGAGCAGACCTTGACATTAAGGGACCAAATGCCAAACTGAAAGGTCCAAAATTCAACATGCCAAGCTTGTCTGGCCCAAAAATATCCATGCCAGATGTGGATTTCAACTTGAAAGGCCCCAAACTCAAAGGTGACATGGATGTTTCAGGTCCAAAGATCAAAGGAGATATCAAATCACCTGAAATAGACATCAAAGGTCCAGAAGTTGATATTGAAGGACCAAAGGGAGGATTTGAAATGCCTAAAATGAAAATGCCTTCACTAAATTTGAAAGGTCCGAAAGTTGATATGCCAGATGTTGACATTAATCTGAAAGGTCCTAAGGTTGAAGGGGATGTGGATGTTAATCTGCCAAAGATAAAAGGAGATCTCAAAGGTCCAGAGGTGGATATTGAAGGCCCAGACGTTGACATTGAGGGTCACAAAGGTGGACTGAAAATGCCTAAGTTCAAGATGCCATCATTTGGTTTTAAAGGACCTAAAGTGGAAGGTCCAGATGTTGACATCAACCTCCCCAAGGCAGATATTGATGTGAAAGCACCTGATGTTGATATTGAAGGAGCAGACCTTGACATTAAGGGACCAAATGCCAAACTGAAAGGTCCAAAATTCAACATGCCAAGCATATCTGGACCAAAATTATCCATGCCAGATGTGGATTTCAACATGAAAGGCCCCAAACTCAAAGGTGACATGGATGTTTCAGGTCCAAAGATCAAAGGAGATATGAAATCACCTGAAATAGACATCAAAGGTCCAGAAGTTGATATTGAAGGACCAAAGGGAGGATTTGAAATGCCTAAAATGAAAATGCCGTCACTAAATTTGAAAGGTCCGAAAGTTGAGATGCCAGATGTTGACATTAATCTGAAAGGTCCTAAGGTTGAAAGTGATGTGAATGTTAAAATGCCAAAGATTAAAGGAGATCTCAAAGGTCCAGAGGTGGACATTGAAGGCTCAGACATTGACATTGAGGGTCACAAAGGTGGACTAAAAATGCCCAAATTCAAGATGCCCTCATTTGATTTGAAAGGTTCTAAACTAGAAGGTCCAGATGTTGACATTGACCTCCCCAAGGCAGATATTGATGTAAAAGCACCTGATGTTGATATCAAAGGGGCAGACCTTGACATTAAGGGACCAAATGCCAAACTGAAAGGTCCAAAATTCAACATACCAAGTATATCTGGACCAAAAATATCCATGCCAGACATGGATTTCAATTTGAAAGGCCCAAAACTCAAAGGTGACATGGATGTTTCCGGTCCAAATTTAAAAGGAGATATCAAATCACATGAAATTGACATAAAAGGTACAAAAGTTAAAACCGATGTTCCAAGTCTTGATTTTGATCTAAAGCATAGCAGTGAACCACCAAAGTTCCCAACAATACCTGGGTCCAAAGCAACACTATCAAATGTTGACGTACATCTGAAGGGATCGAAATTAAAGGGGGAATTTAAAGGAGAGGGTCAATTTCCAAAAGCTGAACTGAAAGCCACTGATGTCTTGGAAGTATCTCCGAAAAAGTCTAAGTTTAAAATGCCAAAGGTTGGATTCAAGAGTCCAAAGATAAAAACCTCAGAACCTGATATTAAACTGGAGCATGGAGATGTCAACATTAAAGGAAAGACTGGGAGCCGCGAGGGACTTGATTTTGACATTGGTTTGTCTGGTTCAAAATCTAAAAGTCCTAAATTTAAGATCCCAAAATTTGGCCTCAAGGGTCCAAAAGTTGACATGCCAGAAGCTGATCTTTCAAAATCTGAAATTGACATAAAAACATCAGATGTCACAACAGCAGGAGCAGGATTTGATGTTGATATTCACAGTGGAAAACTTAAAGGATCAAAAGATGTGGATTTAAATCTGACAGGTCCAAAACTTAAAGGGGATTTGAATGTGTCAGTTCCCGATGTGGATCTCAACCTGAAAGAAGCTGATATAAAAGGTCCAAAGTTTGAAGTCGAGGGACCGAAGGGTGGATTAGAAATGTCCAAGATCAAGATACCATCTTTTGGCATCAAACTTCCTCAGCTGGAAAAGTCAAATGATACTATAAACATTCCAAATGTCAAGGCTGATACAGTAACCCCCAAAGTTGACATTGGTGGAGTTGATGTTAAAGGTCCTGAGGCAAGTCCCAATGCTAAACTTCCATCAGTATCAGGACCCACCTTGCCAGACTTAAACATTAATCTTTCAAGGCCAAAAACAAAAGGAAATGTTAATATTACTCTCCCTAAAACTGATACTGATATCAAAGTACCAAAGACAGAAATCAAAGGAGCAGGAAAAATAACACCACCTGAAGTTGATATCAAAGGTCCACATGTTGATCTTGAGGGTGGCAAAGATGGGTTTGAAATCCCTAAAATTAAAATGCCATCACTAGACTTTAAAGGCCCCAAAACAGGGAGTCAAGGTGTTGACATCAACCTTTCCAAAGCCAAAATAGATGTTGATTCCTCTACAGTAGACTTTAAAGCACCCAAAGTGAAACTGCCAACTGTATCAGGCCCTGAATGGGATATTAGTCTGAAAGGTTCAAATGTTGAAGGAAAAGAAATTAATGTTAACCTTCCTAAAACAGACATTGACATTAAAGGACCAAAATTATCCATGTCAGATGTGGATATGAATCTTAAAGCTCCTGATGTTGACATCAAGGATCCCGAGGTTCATACTGGAGGGCCCAAGGTTGGTTTTAAAATGTCCAAAGTCACACTGCCATCAGAATCAGAAGTTGATGTAAATTTTCCAAAAGCTGACTTAAACATTAAAGCACCTGAAGTAAACATAAAAGGACCAGAATTTGGTTCCACTGAAGCAAGTCTTGATGTCCCTGACATAGATGTGAAGGGGAAAAAGGGAAAGTTCAAACTTCTAAAAGTGAAAGGAAAAGCAAGGAAGCAAGAAGCTACACCAGAAGTAGACCAGGGTATTGACACACCGAATATTGATGTGAAAGGGACACATACTAAGAAGTCTCTTTTTGGTAAACTTCATTTCCCTGATGTAGAACTAGATATTAAATCTCCAAAACTAAAAGGTGATGGATCTTTAGCTGAGGGATTTAAATCACCTGATACAAGTGTATCATCTGACAGTGCAAAGATTTGTTTGGAAGGCCCTGATGTTAATGTCAAAGGAGGTCCAGAGCTTAGTGCAAGAACTTCAGGACAATCAGCTAGTGGCCTTCAGTATCCAGAGGGTACAATACAGTTTCCAAAAATCAAAGTGCCAAAGTTTGGCATTCTTCAGCCTAAGGTGGAAGGCCAAAATGTTCCAGGAAAAGGAAAATCAGATGCAATGATGGGTGGAAAATTAGACCTGGAAGGTGAATCTGGAGTCAGTTTGTCAGCTAAAGGAAAGTCAGCCTCACTGGATCTATTTAAAAAATCAAAGCACCGATCTTCCTCTGCTAGTGATGAAGGTTCGCTTGCAGTTAGCTCTCCTTCAGCTCTTTCAGAAGCTGAAAGTGGTGACATTTCAATAGATGTAGGAGGAACTAAGGTCAAAGGTAAGAAAGGCAAATTAAAATTTGGCACATTTGGAGGTTTTGGATCTAAGTCCAAGGGCTCATACGAAGTAACACTTGGAAACGACAATGAAGGAGAGACAGAGGGGAGTACAGATGCTTCTGTACCTTTGAAAAAATCTAGATTGTCGTCCTCCTCAAGCAGTGACAGTGGATCAAGAGGTGCTTTCAGGCTTCCAAAACTTGAACTATCAGTTTCTCCAAAAAAATAATAGTAAGATCAATTAAACCTTCTCCTAATGCAGTATAAGTTTTGAACTTTAGTTCTTTTAAATTTAATAGAACATGCACAATTATCTCTGTTTACCTATGAATGATAATTTTAAAGAAAATGAAATAGGAGAGAATTAGATTGTTAAAAAATTCTTCAAACTGTACATAAGATAAATGTATACTTTTATTAATGAATATTGTTTTGTACATAGTCCAGATTTATTAATCTATTGCATCACACAAAATTATAGGTCATATGTTTTGTTTCTTCTTTAAACAAATTTTTTTATTGAATAGTTGTTACATATTCGTAACCAGGGGCTACTGCAAAGAATATACATCACAGTTGTTTCGAAGGAAAATGCTCTATATACATTTGAAACACAGTTTTAACCGGTTTCCATTTTAGTACGTGTACAATGATGTTTTTTTTTATTTTTCTAAGCTTCAATAGTAGTCAGTGCAGAATTGTATTTTTGCAATGTAATTTTAACAACCTTCTAAAAATTCACATACCTGTATATAGCATAATTGCAAGGACAATCTTTTTGGAAATTCTTTGTGCTGTGAGTACTTCTGATTGCTGTCTCTTCATTTAAGAAAAGTTGTAATTGCTAAAATTTTGTTTCACAATAAAAATTAAATTGCTTTGTTTATTTTAAACTGGTTTCTTAATCCTGTCATTTTTACATTCTAACAGTTAGTAATCCTCTATATTTAATTTTTGACACCTTTTGTTTTGTATAGATACCTATTCTGGTCATGTCACCGTCACATCTTGATATCATCTGTTTTCAAACAACATCTTTGCAGGTAGAAAGATGTATACCATTGATATTTGATGGAGTGCATAATTTTTTGGATCCATGCTTCTGTGTGCATTCTGCCAACTAAATGCAATAAACGGATTTGTGGAGTTTATTTTTGTCTTTGAACTTGATTTGCAGTTTGTGTGAGTCAGCTGAGTAATAAGTATTTTTGGAGTCCTGTCACAATTTTATTTTACATGACTGTATGAAAAATTACAGGGCAGCTAGGACAATTAACATTAATGAATTTACACACTGGGATTACATACAACAAACCTGGTATGGGGTATTTGTTTTTCCTTCCAACCTTTACGTTTTATGGTTTTTCATATTTAGGTCATTCCTAAGTTTTTACAAACATTTTTATTTTTCAGTTGGTATTTGTTTAATGAATATAAAGAAGATGGAATATTTTTACAATTGCGGCAACATTTCAGTTCAGCTTAATTCATTTTAGAAATATAGAGTCTGTTAACAGTCGATGCCGTCACATTACAAAACAAAGAGCTTTAAGCAATGTATGATAATATGGAATCCAGTTTGGTCCAAATTTGTGTTCAAATCAATCCAATTAATTCCCTTACAATATTCATGTATTCAGACTATGATACAAATTCAACTCAGCACAGTCAAAATCAGTTAATCATAAAAGGTTAATTGGTATAAAATTGTTATGCGGATGATTGAATGAAGTTCATGACTTCTCTCCTCTGGAGCAAACATGTGGCTGCAATGGTAAGGAAGGACTCCATTTTAACAAGAACAACTTCTAGTAGAGCCAGTATATTGGGCCATCTGTTGTGATGGGTAACCACCTAACAGGAGAGAATGCAGACTGAAACTAAAACATACAAGCACGACTCCAGGAGTATTTCTACCAAAGAAAACAAACCATTAGAGCTAGGTAGTATTAACATTAATATCTTTGAAAGAAACAGCCAAACAGGGAAGCTCTGAGCCAGGAATAGTTGGAAAAATAAGAGGGTAAATAACTGCATTCCTCAAGGGCTTCATACATACATAAAGACAAAGTTAAAGATGGGATTCTGATGAGGATAAATATTATGAGAATTTTGCATACAATAGAAATATGCCACACAAAGTTTGTAAATTACAGGCAAATTTCTAGTTCCTATAATTGAAGATCCTTATCAAGTTTAACAAAATTCTGTGGCCTTCAGCATGTAAGATCACCTACTGATAAAAGGATCGTCTTATGTTGCACTTTATTTCACAATATAAAGCCATCAAATACAAACATCCAGATTTATTGTAAAGAAAATAAATTATGCTCTTTCTGGTATCATATGAAGCATTTAAACTGACTCAAAACCAGCTGGAAAAAGTTTGGACTGTAAGAGCTAAACATATGATAGGGGGAGAGATTTTTATCTTGGCATAAGCCCAGAGGAAAGAACGGTTTTCGTTTGGGGACAACAAATTATTGGTCACTTGTCTCATGTAATATTTGTGGTTTCACCATTGTCTGAATGTAATTGACTATAGCACTAAAGTATAATATAATATGGAGAGTTTCACACATGTGCAAAGTTGGTATTTCAATCTATATTAGAAATTACAAAATCAAATCACCTGCACTCCTTAATTGTTGTGAAATAATAAAATGAGAAAGTCCTACTTGGATGATATTTTTAATGAATAACTTAAGAAAAAAGAGAAATAGTTTCAATTAAAATTATTTTTTGGGATGTACGTATTTATGTTTACGTTAGTGTTTGACCTACATGTTGTGAGTCTGTCACTCACTTTGTACTGCAGCTCTCTTTTCTACCAGGGTTTTTATTTTAGTGTGACAACCCAAGATCATCCCTCACCCCTATTTAGCCCTCTTCGAAAACTTCCTTGAAACACCTACTCAGCAGTTAATGTAAACATTAATATTCAAGTATTAAAACCTTTAAATATGACACACTAAATCTTTCTTTGAAATCCATGGCTTTGTGGTCAACAATAATATACTAACTATTAGTAATGGGCCTGGTGGAGTGAGTGACATTCATAAGGCTGGTGAAAACCATTACTGTATTTTCGACCTGCCATGGACTCTCCTTGGCCTATTCAGAGAGGAAATGTGCTATATTGTCCATCAACCATTAACCAGGTAAACTCGAGACTATTCTCATATCAGTCCACTGCTGTTTCAGGTTGAAAACACGGCTATCGAAGCTACAAATCATATGCTAACTTCAGTTTGTAACAACAACAGAAACTGCTGCTAACGTTATTCAGCGGAGCTGTAACTTGAGGAACATCCTGCAAATTAATTTAAACATAAGTTAATTCACTTAAACATTTCTTTACCTACTTAGATTGGATACATATTGCGCATCAGCATGTGGGTTCAGTCTTCCTTATCCGCACATTTAGTCGACATGAATGAGGTCCGTCAGAATGAGATGAGTTGATGTGTTAGGGGCGAAGCGCCCTCATAGCTGCGCGCTTGCGCAATTGCATACTACTCCCTGAACATACATACAAAAACATATACACCTGAACCATAAATTAATTAAACGCATCACATGTTCTTGCGTATTTGGCAAAAAAAAAAAACAAAAAAAAAAAACAGGTTTTAATTCATAAAAATAAATCTTTAATTTGAATCATTTTTTACAGCATTGCAAGTGTGCCTATTTACAAAGTCTTAATGTCTTAATTCAATGTCAATTTTTAGCATTCACTCTAAAATATAAAATTTTAATAATAATAATAATAATAATAATAATAATAATAATAATAATAATAATAATAATAATAAGCAATTGTATTGATAATGCCCTTTCTATATCAAATAGAAATCTTAAATCAATTTTAAACAGAAACATTATCTAATGAACCAACTGCACTGGAGGAATAGATAACATTAATATAAAACAAAAAATGATAGTGTGACAGTGGTGACCTAGATCTGCCGGTGGTGACACAAACTCCAACATCTTAATAAGATGCTTTCTAGCATAGCAATTTTGATTATGATTTTTATTGATAAAACTACTTAATATGTAACAGAATATATAGCCGATAGATTACAGTATAATAAATTGTCTTGTACAATTTTCTTCTGGATTGGGGTAAGGTCCTCAGGAATGTAATTTACCACAGAGTTGCCTGATTTTAATGCCTGTTTAAAAAGAATCTGACAGTGTAAACAAAAATTTGGGATAAGCTTAAATGTATCATAAATTAATAGTAAATGTTGCTAAAACCTACAAAACATTTAGCTTGACTTTGATTTTAAATTTTTCTCTTTCATCTTTTCCTAATATTCTATATTGTAAAAGGTATTTACAATATAGGATTCTGTGGCTGCTTGCATGTCATAAAACCATATTCACTAAATTAATAACACAAATACACAAAACATTGTATTTGTGCTAAAATGTCTTGCAGTATTAACCACAATTATGTTTTAAAGCCTTTTACAATAAATTAGCATTTTTTTAGTTGTACATGATTTTGCCAAAATCTTAAGAATGAATAGTACAATTTGTTCTGTACTATGTTAGCTCTTTTAAGATGGAATGGCTGTTGTTTATCTGAGCAGAAAGAAGTACAAGGGGTGAAACTGGCCAAGATTTTTTTCTTTAAAAAAATGAAAAAGATTTTTGTCTTTTTCATTTTAAGTGGGTAAAAACATATATTAAAAGTAATCTAACAGGAATTACTGATGTACTTGGATTCTTGTAATAACCCGTGGGACTTGTGTGGATACATTGGTGGTGATATTGTTTATGTTTTCTGAATTTTTATTTTCGATGAAGAGCATCCATCCTGCTGTCTTCAGTAGAAACATTAACTAGGAAACAAGAAAGAGTTGAGCTGACACAAGGGAAAAAACAGTGCCGTGTTTGGCTAAGGGCCATGCAAGCTATGCAGTAGATTGTCTACTTGTCTGCTTCATTCAGTCTTATTATTCACCTATTAAACAACTAAGAACAATATTCATTCTTTATTAGATTGGGAGTCAGAAAGGACGGCTTAGGAGCACCACTGTTCTAAGATACACTTTCATTATTGTGTCCTTAATCATGTGGCATTAATTGTAAATGATCAGTAAAACTTATGAATAAATATCCTACTCCTATTCTGCCTAAATAAAAGTAAGACATTATGCAATGTTAAATTCTGGAAGTGCTTTTCCCTCACTTTGATGCCCCAAGTTGCTGATCTTAGATGAGTGATGATCTACTTCTGCATCATGTTTTTGTTCTATTTTTTTTTTTTTTCAAAAGTGGTGCACTATTTGGGGTATTTACATTGATGTCAAGGGTTAGTTTTTCTCCACGTATATGTCAAAAAAGTAAAATTTGCTTTAATTGAACCAGAGCATCTTATTTTATTAATGGTTTAAGATTAAGCTTTTTTTTTTTCCTAGGGCCAAATTCACACAAAACATTGAAAGATTTATAAACTTTCTCAAACGTTTCATGTGTGAATAGGTTGCTCATTCAGACAAGAACTTGTCACTTATTATTAAATTATCAAAAATAATGTCAGCAATTGTTAACACATTAACACTTACATGCAATGGTAAAAATGAACATTTGAAAC